ATTGCTATAAACTTCCCTCTCAAGTCTGCCTTGGCTGTGTCCCGTAAGTTTTGGGTTGTTGTGAGATCATTTTCATTTGTTTCCAGAAACGTTTTTATTTGTTTCCTAATTTCATTTTTGACCCATTCGTTGTTTAATAGCATACCATTCAGTCTCCATGATTTTGGGTGCTTTGGGTTTTTTCCTTTGGGGTTGGTTTCCAATTTCAGTCCCTTGTGGTCAGAGAAGATGCTTGGTATGATTTCAATATTCTTGAATTTGTTGAGGCTTGTTTTGTGTCCTATCTTGTGGTCTATCTTTGAAAATGTTCCATGAGCATTTGAAAAGAATGTGTACTTAGCTTCTTTGGGGTGAAGGGCTCTATATATGTCAGTTAAGTACATTTCATCTAGGGTGTTGTTTAATGCCACAATATCTTTTTTGATAATTTGTTTGGAAGATCTGTCAATTTTTGATAATGGGGTGTTAAAATCCCCTACTATAATTGTGTTGCTGTCAATATCTTTCTTGAAGTCCTCTAAGATTTTCTTAATATATTTTGGTGCTCCTATGTTTGGTGCATGTATATTTACAAGGTTAATGTCTTTTTGGTGGATTCTTCCCTTGAGTATAATGAAGTGACCTTCTGGGTCTCTCTTTATGGCCCTTCTTTTGAAGTCTATCTTGTCTGATATGAGAATTGCTACCCCAGCTTTTTTTTCTTGTCCGTTTGCTTGGAAAACTTGTTTCCAGCCTTTCACTTTTAGTCTGTGATGGTCTTTTGTCCTGAGGTGGGTCTCTTGTAGGCAGCATATGTGTGGGTCATGCTTTCTTATCCATTCAGCTATTCTGTGTCTTTTGATTGGAGCATTTAATCCATTTGTGTTTAAGGTTATTATTGATAGGTACTTATTCATTGCCATTTTTGTACCTGTGTTCCTCTCTGTTTCCCTCTTTTCCTTCCTTTCCTTAAAGCAGTCCTTTTAGTATTTCTTGTAGAGCTGGTTTGGTGGAGGCGTATTCTTTTAGACTTCTTTTGTCTTGGAAGCTCTTTATTTGGCCTTCTATCTTGATTGAGAGCTTGCTGGGTAAAGTAGCCTTGGTTGTAGGCCTCTGGTTCTCATTACTTGGAATATTTCTTGCCAGTTTCTTCTTGCTTGGAGTGTTTCCATTGAGAAGTCAGTAGTTAACCTTACTGAAGCTCCCTTGTATGTTACTTCTTTTTTCTCCCTTGCTGCCTTTAAGATTCTCTCTTTGTCTTGGAATTTTGCCATTTTGATGATGATGTGTCTTGAAGTGGGCCTCCTTGGGTTCCTCTTGATTGGGACTCTCTGTGATTCCTTTATTTGTGTGACTTTTTCTCTTATCAAATTAGGGAAATTTTCTCTCATTACTGTTTCAAATACGTTTTCTATCCCTTGTTCTTCTTCTCCTTCTGGTATTCTTATTATTTGGATATTATTACATTTCATATTGTCTTGCATTTCTCTTAATCCCTCTTCATTCTTTCTGAGCCTCTTTTCATTTTCTTGCTCTTTCTGTGAGATACTTTCTACTTTGTCCTCCAACTCACTAATCTGATCCTCCGCCTCATCTATCCTACTTTTGAAACTGTCTACTGAGTTCTTCAATTCGAAAATTGTATTCTTCATTTCCTCTTGTCCCTTGCTGATATTTTCTGTTTCCTTTTTCATGTTCATATAGTTTTCAGAGAGATCATTGTAGTTCCCCTGTAGTTTCTGATAGCTCGTTGTGAGCTCTTTGAACTTCGTAATAACCAGTGCTTTGAATTCACTATCTGATAGTTGATTAGCCTCTATTTCATCTAACATTCTTTCTGAAGTTTCTGCTTTTTCTTTCATTTGGGGATTGTTTCTTTGTCTTCCCATTGTTTGAGACTCTTCTTGTTAGTTTCAGCTTCTAAAATTGATCTGTTCTGACTCCCTGGGTTTATGGTATGAACTTCTGTGGTATGATACCTATGAAATTCAGTGGTGCAGACTCCTTCAGGTATCTTGATGTTCTCCATCTCCACCTACTCTCATGCTGGTCGCCTACCACTGCTGAGTGTCCCGGCTCCTGTAGCCGACTCCCCAGCACCCAGGCCCATCGCTATGGCTGCGGCACAGAGGCCGTGTGTGTCCCAGCTCCAGTAGCTGACTCTGCCGCTGTCTGGTGTTTCAGTGTTGGTCACAATCTCTGGTCTTTTAATTTCATAAATGCTGGGTAACCAATGGTTTATTGTGCTGTTTCTCTATAGATCTGCCAGGATTTTCACCCACGAGTACAGGAGCTAGAATCCGCTCCATCCTACTTCATCGCCATCTTCCCAGCATCCCCCAGATTTTATTGTTAAATGACCATTTCCTACTCATCCCCTAAGATATCTGAATGCTGTAAATATCCCTACAATTTATCTATTCATATTTCCCCAGTATTACAGAGATACAGTAAGTAACATAGCATGCTATCTATTTTACTCTGGTTAAATCTGATGGTTTTTAGGAGGACCTTAATAAATATAAGTAGCAAACTTTTAGTGGATAATTTCTCTGTGTTAAAACATCATTCTGAGTGTTTTTTCATGAATTTTTTTGTTTTTGTAAAATGGTTCTATAGTTAGCTGAATACTGTTTTTATCTCCATTTTATAGATGGAGAAACAGACACAGAAAGAGGAAATATTCTGTCCAGTATCACAGCAACTAAGTTGTAGAATTGGATTTTAAACTCACAGAGTTAAACCAGTTGAATTTATGAAAAGCACACTGTAAGAGAAATGCCTCTATTTACTGTTGTCAGTTTCATAAAGGGTGGTATGGTAGCTCTAGGGATTTATGGTTTGAGCACAGGATTGAAAGCCCATGTTTGTAGCTGTAAAATGAGGGAAACCTGGTGTTTTGTGGTGGGGATTAAATGAGATAATATGTGTAATATACAGAACATAGTCAGGAACTGTTACCTTCTAGGTGCCAGAAAAAAGTGATAGCTGCCTTTATTGTTGCTTTCTAAGTCTACTAGCTTACCTTGTTGAACTTTAGAACATAAAGAAGAGTTTGCTAAAGAGAAAGTTGGATTTTTAGGTCTAAGTAAGTCCTTAGGAGAAAAATTAAATGATGTAGATTTATACTGTATATACTTGTATAAAGTTCATTCTAGCTCAGTTCATGATTATTTTCTATACATTCCTTTAAGCCAAGTGTCCTTGATCACATGTAACAGCCTAAAAAGGTGACTATTTTCAGTACTTTAAAAATGCTGACTGTGGGTATTAACCCACCATTAAGCTACTCATGACTGTCTCAGTGTGTCATATTTATTTGCTCTTTTCTCCATTTCATGGCTTTGAATTTAAAAATAGCAAATTATTACTTAGGAAATAAGTTTCAGTAGGTGAAATATTTGAAAACATGATGTTGGTAGGGGGAAGTAATTTTTTTAAAAGACCCTAATGGGGAAAATTTTTGAACCAGTATCTCATATTTCAAAGAACAGAAAAACTGTTATTACATCTTTTTCTGTTGTTATTGTAAGAACTTTGGTTTTTAATGCTTTACCCTTTGGTATAAATATATAGCTTGTCAAACAAGGGGAGAAATGTCTTAGAAGTTAATGGCAATTTCTGTGAGGAATTCTTTAGTAGTTTTCAGTGAAATTACTAAAACCATGCTACCATGATGTTTTCTAGTCATAAATTTCATGTGGAACAGCAAACAGTCACAATTTTTTTTAATGTGAAGAAAGTTGTAGATAGATTGACACTAATATATATAAAGTCTTGTATAAAATAGAAATAATTTAAGTTGGAGGGCTGTCAGGAGTAGAGTGCCCCAAATAGGCTGTGTTTAATACAAGAATTTAGTAGGTATAGGTACATTTACTTAGCAGTTACTACATGGTAAAGGCACCATTTCACTTACTTTATCTATCTCTTTTGGTCCTCACAACAACCCTAATAGATAGGCTTTCTTATCCTTATTTTTCATGAGGAAACTAAAGTTTTAAAAGGCTAAGTTACTCATTCTGTTTCACAAAGCTGCCGAAGTGTGGCAGTGGAACGTGAATGCAGGTCTTTCTAATTCCAAAGCTCCACTGTCTGTCATATGCAAAAGTGAAGGAGAAACAACAAGGCAACATAGAAAAATTCTTCAGAAATTTAGGTTGAGATTACTGGGTAACGCCTTAAAGAAAATTTACTTTGGATCTTTACCATGTTACATATAACAAAATAGATTCCAGATGGGTTAGTGTTAAATTTGAAAAACAAAACAAATAAGAAAATAAAGGCTTAGAAAAACTAGAGGGTAAATTTGAATATTTATCAAATCTCTAAAGCAGAATGCTTTCCTAAATTCTATAGCAATAGAAGAAATCACAAAATAAAATTTTAAAAAATTTTATTATCAAAACAAAAATATAAATTGGCAAAAATTAATAGAACAACAACACCCAGTGCTAGCCAGGAGAACTATTATATATTGTGTGTGGTATAACAAACCGGTTAACGGCCCTTGAAGGAAGTATTTGAAAAACATAAAAATGTTCACCTCTGTGCAGTAATTCTACTGCTAATCACTTGCATTGGATAATCTAAACTATGTGAAATGCTCTTCCCATGAAAGTATTTTTGCAGTATTTTTCAAACCAAAAGTAAGGAAAATAATCTAAATGTCCAATATGAAGGTAGTGATTAAATAGTCAAATCATTAGATGAAATGTTACATGAAATGCTATAGAAGCGTTATTATCAGTGATCATGAATTCTGCCTTTCAGTATAAAACAACGTGGATCTATAGATCCTTTTATCTTTTTCATATATGTTTTTACTGAGGTTACAATAATAGAGTAAGGTAGTTGTACCATAAAAGACTGAAATGAGATATTGACATTAAAATCTTAATCATGATTATTCTAGTAGTAGAATTAAGGTGGTTTTCTTTGCTTTATTTCCTGAGTTGTTGATTATATGTTTATTTTATTTACAAACTCTAAGTAAACAGGACTTATTCTTTGATGTACAGGACGGGTTTCCAGATTTCCAGGACTCTGTGCAGACCCTTTTCCAGCAGGCTAAAACCAAGAGTGAAGAACTCGCTGCTCTTAGTTCACAGGTAATGCAAACCACCAGTTAATATTGCATAATAATATCTGTAGGTTGGAAAATAAATGGCTGCTTAAACTAGCTTCAGTTTTGAGCATCCAAGGAATGAATTTTATATCTGGTTGTTCTTAGAGTGTCATCTGATCCACAGCTGTATCAACAAGACAGCAATAACAACTTGGTTTGAATTGGTTTATGAGCAGAATCTTTTTGAACAGAATCTGATACAGTGATATTTATTCTTTGTAGTTTTGTAGGAAGTAAGATAGCTTCTCTACCAAATAAAATTCAAAAGAAGTAATTTGATACCAAGAAAACAGCCAACATGTTGACCACATCTGTGTGAAATACAACTCTGAAATAGTACAAGTTTTTCATAAAATATTGTCAACTTTATAGCTTTTATTACATCATTTCAATTAGTGTATAATAAAAATTGTTAAATTAATATGTAGCTCTAGGTACATTTGCTGTTATTTCATTGTGTATACTGAAATAAACATTTAAAAAAGTCATTTCTCCAAACATTACCTTTTAGAAAACACTGTAAGTTTTATTCATGTTAATCTTCTCCCTAGTGGCTGCTTTTGGTCAAATTTAGTAGTTCCAAGTTTTGTTTTTTTCATGTTAAGAGGATGAAAAATACATTTCTCACTCAGAAGTATTATTTTGTCAATTAATTAGTAACACATTCAAATGAATTGGAGTTATTGTTTCTTTTGATCTAGTTTATGAGCATTCAGAAAAATAGTATAAGTATAAGCTTTTATCCTATTCTATAAATTAACATTTCACTTAATTGATTTTTTATTGTGAATCAGGTTGATTTGTAAATGACTTTATGTAGCAACTTCCTTGTATTACTCTTTTATGTAGCATGGTAATGATTCATATCTACATTTTGACTATCTGGCAAAATATCACCAATACACTGCTTTGAATACCACATATAAGTAATTTAGAGCAGTACATAAAGAAGGAACTTAAAACACACATGCAGAGATAAATTTATATTTTAGCCAACTAATTGTGTGTTTTAAAACATGTCTTTTTATGATTGGTTGAAAATACTGCCTTTTCATTCCATGATGAAGGTAGAGATCCTAGTGGGCACTGATGTTTTTCTGTATAATTTGCATTGTTTAATGTTTGTGGGACATGTGTTTGTCTTCTTCTGGACAGCCATTTTACACCTTTTCTCCCCCAATATACTGTCATTATATCAGAGTCTGTGTAGTGCCAAATCCTAAAATAAAAATGCGAAGCCTCCCTGTGTGTTAGAAGCAGCTTATAGCAGATGTTGCTGTAGCAATAAGGTGCCTTTTTCAAAAAACTCTTTCATCCCTAACTGGTGTGGCCCAGTGGGTTGGACTTTGTCCTGCAAACTGAAAGGTTGCTGGCTAGATTTCTGGTCAGGGCACATGCCTGGGTTTTGGGCCAGGTCCTTGATTAGGGGCATGTGAGACGCAAACGATCCATGTTTCTCTCACACGTCGATGTCTCTCTCCCTTTCTTTCTCCTTCCCTTCCCCTCTCTCTGAAAATAAATAAATAAAATATTCTTAAAAAATCTTTCAGAGGACTCAGTACTTTGGAAAGCAGAGCTCAAGTTATTTTGCTTTTGAGCTGAAATGGAATTTTCTCTATGGGATTGAGCAAAAGAACTTTTTTCTTTTGCCCAAAATCTAGCATTTTAAGTGATGATATAGACATCTATGCATATTTATGAAATGTGTGTACCGCATGAAGTGTGAACTAATTTTAATGAATCCTAAATATATTTGCTGGAGTCTGAAATTGGCATCTTTAAACCATTAAAAAATCTGGATTGTTTTAGTTACTGATTTTATTTTTGCTTTACTTACTAGCAGCCTGATAAGGTAATGGCAAAGCAGATGGAGTTCCTTTGCACCCAAGCTGGCTACGAGAGACTGCAGCATGCTGAAAGAAGACTATCTGCAGGACTTTACAGGCAAAGCTCAGAAGAGCACAGCCCTAACGGCTTGACTTCGGATAACTCTGATGGACAAGGTGAATCTTGTAGAAAGACCCACTACACCTTTAGAGCCGCTATTGTGTGCGCTTCAAAGAGAAACAAGAATTGCTGACTTTAAAATTGTGACATTTTTAGGAGATGATCTTACAGGTTCGCTATCATATTTAGTTTTCAACTTGTCCCTTTTTCAAAACAGGAAAGAATTCACCCAGCAAATTTAATTTTTAATGTTTTTTTAAAACTTTATCCTTAAATAGTAGCTGGCATATACAGTTGATATGTGTTTTGTAAAGGGTGTGTGGGAATTGGAGGTGTAAATAAATAGTGCATTTGTTCCTGGGTATCGATATAGGGGCTAGAGGATTGGTTTCAGGACCCCCAGCAGATACCAAAATCTGGATGCTTAAGACCCTTATAAAAACAGCATAGTATTTGCATATAACCTCACATGTCTTCCTGTGTACCTCGAATCATCTCTAGATTACTTATAGTACTTAATACAATGTAAATGCTGTACAAATAGTTGTTACACTCTATTTAGGGATAATGACAAAAGAAAAAGTGTTGTACATGTTGAGTACAGGTGCAGTTATCATTGGCCTAACTACATACTACATGTCAGCAACAAAATAACATTTTTCCCAAATATTTTTGATGTGCAGTTGGTCTGCAGATGCAGAACCCATGGATAAGAAGATTGTGCTTACCATTTTTCTCAAAGAAATGGATTCTATGGGAGATCTTTTTAAAAAGATTTTTTAGAAGATCTAAACTTCCTCTTTTTTTAGACTTCAAAAAACAGATTTGTCTGTAAAATTTATAATATTTGATTCCTAAGAGAATATGGTGACTGCTTCTCAAAGTATTACAACCAAGCACAGAAGTTTTAAGAGACAGTATAAGAAGGGAAAGACCTGAAGAAATTTTGTCTACTTTCAGGCTTCACATTGTCCAGCAGTCCCTGTGAAAATATTTTGGTACTGTGCTCTTTGGAAATTGTCCTCTTAAACTCTTAGGTTTAGAAACTATGATTTATGAATGTTTTTACTATTTTAAAATTTATTTCATTTTTTTCTTTATTCACACATGAAGAAAATCTCAAGTCATTGTCATTCACTCACTCTACAATTTTTTTTAGTACCTCCTATGTGCCGGGCATGCTTCTAGGCACTGAAGATGCAGCAGTGAACAAGATAATATCCCTGCTCACCCGGAGGTCATACTCTAGTGCAGGGAGATGTGCACTGTATAACTATAGAAATAGATCCTGTAGTTTCAAATATCAATAAGTGTTGAAGAAAACCTAGTTTTGTAGGACCTTTTTAATGTATTATTCTTATACTTTCTAGAGCGTGGTTACTGTTGTCAGAAAAATAAGATCTCTTTTTAAGTAAGCATGCCATATTAAGCATTCACCAACTGTAGAGTAAAATATTATACATGTCAGCAGACCAGACTACTGGAGGAGAACATTCTTCCTTTCTCAAACGTTACAGAAACTTTTTAGTTGAGGTTTTGTTTAACTTGTTCAGTTATCCTTGATAGTTGAGACTTAACAGTTAAGAAGCAAAAGCATTAATGAAAGATTTTGATGACTAATTTGTAACACCAGGATAATTCAGTGTGGGGGGCAATTTGCTAAGTGTGATGGATTTAGGTTTATGACAGAATGTACTTTGGTATTTAAAGCATTTTTACCATATCTGTGATAATTCTATTTTTTCATAGATTTACAATAGGTCTTGTTATTGTTTTTAATAATAGGCAATTGGCTTGAAGCCGTCTCTGTTCCTCTAGTATTTGTTATTATGTGCTTAATGACATACCTTGGCAAAATGGTTGCACCAGTGAAAAAATGCCTTATGGAGGGGATGTATTATATGCCGAAGTTGGAGTGCTTACTCAAAATCTCAGTGTTTTGTTTAGTTTATGGATAGCTCTTAAAAATGCCCTGGCAGGATTGTAAACCTTGGGGCTATCATGAATTGCCATTTACCTCCTATATTATTTCATAAAATATTTCTCCAATTATTACTCAAATTCTGCAGTGCCTATTGATTTTTCTTACTACTCTCTTAAGAAGTGTTTAGGCAATTTGTGGAAATAATTTTAAAGAAAAACCATGGTGTGTTTTTAATAGTATTCATACTGCTTTTCCTCCCCTTTTCATTAGGAGAAAGACCTTTGAATCTCCGAATGCCTAATATACAGAACAGACAACCCCGTCATTTTGTGGTGGATGGGGAGCTGAACAGACTTTACTCCAGCGAGGCCAAGTCCCACTCATCAGGTGAGAATGTGGGATATGACTAGAGAGAGGAAAACTTGAATAAAGCATCTTTAAGTTCTGTTCTTCCTCCCACTGTTTCCTCCCACCCCCAAGAAAGGTCATTACTAACAGTGATGTCACTGGTCAGTTTTCCTCCCCTTGGAAGAAACAATAGATTGGCATAGTAATAACTGGTCTTTTTGAGAACCTGGTATTCCCAAGAATTGACAGGGAAAAATCTCAGGAAGGTTGAGATTATTTTGATTAGCTCTTCATGAATGGTGACTTTCATACAAAATTTTAAACCAAATAAGAAATGGATGGTTAGAGTTATGTAACTGTCTCTTTTTCTAGCCTTTCATAACTTGTAATTGATGGATTACATGTTTGCTCTCATGCTAAGAAACCCTTGTATTTCAAAATCTAAATATTTCATGCATATGCATTTTGGAGATGATATTCATAGTTGAGAAGTTAACCGAACTCCATAAAAGTATAAGTTGTTCCTTATTATAGTTAGATATTTACATATTTTTACCCAAGTAAAATGAGTTAGGTTAGACAAAGTTAAATTGTTAGAGACCAAAACCATTTGAAAGAATCTGGTATCATTCAGTCTTTAAGTTAAAATAAAATTAGGAGTCACTTAAAGTCAGTTGCTTCTTCTGTAAAATAGAAATAATTTCACCTTCATAGTGTAGTGACGAGGATTAGACAAGATAATGTATATGAATTGTCTGGCTGTTAGGAATTCAGTAAGTTGATAACTACTATTTTTATTACTCTTCTTTGCTGAATTTAAAATTCATGTTTGTATATAGAGAGTAAATTTATAAATTGAACTGCTTACTTTCAGATAAGATATTAGTATTGGTTACCTTTCTAGAATGTTTTTCAAAGTGCACGCGCGCACGTGTGTGTGTATGTCCCCCAGCACTAGTACCTCACATAAATATGACATTTTATTGTCATTTGGTAGTGTTTGTATGAGATTGAAATAACTATATAGGCACAACTTCAAGCAATGATTTCTTACAAAGTAGAGTTTTCATTCTTTTATTCCTCTTTCTCACACCTTAATGTTTCATAGCTAGAGAAACTTTTAAAAATAGTTCTGACCCTGGCTGGTATAGCTCAGTGGGTTGAATGCTGGCTGTGAACCAGAGGGTTGCCAGTTCAACTCCCAGACAGGACACATGCCTGGGTTGCGGGCTGGACCCCCAGTATGGGGTGAGTGAGAGGCAACCACACATTGTTGTTCAACCACACATTGATGTTTCTCTCCCTCTTTTTCTCCTCCTCTTCCCCTCTCTCTAATGATAAATAAATAAAATCTTTTAAAAAAAGTTCCATGTTTAAACATGGAAGATGTTTTTCTATGTTGTTTTCTTTGTTGGTCATAAATATTTTGACTAGTAACTTTGTTGTATATCAGTGACTGGTTTTATTTTATATATGTTATTTATCATATTGGACCAAGCATTAAATAAAAATATGTTCTATGTGCTAAGTACTTTATGTACATTTCATGATGTAACTCACACCGCCCTATAGAGATACTATCCCCAGTTTATAGATGAAGACACTAATGCTTAGAGAGGTGTGTAAATTGCCCAGAGACAGATACAGCTAGTAGTTGGCAGAGCTGGAATTTAAATAGAGAATCCAAGCTCTTAACCACAACTCTGTAAAGTTTTTATGTGGCATTGCAGAATTATGAATAATTGATACTATTTGCCGTAGAGTTTGGGAGTTTGTTTTGTAAGTTTGTTTGAGTTTGTATTTTGTGATCCACTGATTTAAAGTATCAATACACTTTGTGTTTCTATTTTTATGCAGAGAGCCTTGGGATTTTAAAAGACTACCCTCACTCAGCTTTTACTTTAGAAAAGAAAGTCATTAAAACAGAGCCTGAAGATTCAAGATAGCTGTGATTTTCGCCCTGTTCTTTGGAAATGGCATCAGTTTTAAGGATAATGCTCCATCATAGAAATAAGCCTTAATAACCAGTGTTGCCTCATTCAGCTCCAACAGATTTCATAGCCAAAGCATAAGGACTAATACAGTGGTCTGTGGAAACCAGGAAGAGAGAACAAGAGCCACAAAGGAAAAAAATCTAAAGAATGTTGTAACAAAAATATTGATCCATTCACATTCCTGTGTAAGTCATTTTATGTGGAAAGGCTTACAAATTAATATTGTAAGCATCTATTATTTAAGAATGTACAATGTGTTTGTGTAATTTATAGAAGTAAAATCTAGATGTTAAGACCTGTTTGGTCCAGTAGATATGGATAGTTTATTTTACTTGAAATTTCATTGTCTACTTTAAGTGTATTTAGCATAAGTATTATTATATATGTCAGAGTTTAGAATCTTTGCAGTCATAAAAAAGAAAGTTTAAGTAATGTAGTTATTGGCAAGGTTGCAAGTGACTTTGGAAGAACAGAATTTAGCAAACACTCAGTTTAAAACAAGGAAAATTTAGTGGATTTAATACTTGATGAAATTGATTTTGTTTAATAGGAAATGTGTCCTTTATAGTAGTAAAATGTTCTTTTAACTGGCTTAATCAGGTATATGTACCCAATTAGTAAATATTGGAGTAAAGTTGGAAAGGTGAGAAACACAGTAGAAAATCTTTCATACTTAGTTGACCCAGATTGCATTATATGATAGCTACTAAAGATATAACAAAAATAAGGAGCTATTACTCAAAGAACTTGAAACAAGTGGACTGATGTGTAAAAGCCTTGACTTAAACATTGCCATTTCAGAATGTGTTAAGTAGATTAAGATATAGTAAGTTAACCCTAAATGTGATAAAGATGGTGACTGTTAACAAAGACTGTAATATATAATAAAGTAAATACCGTTTTATATCCAGAAATTCTTCTCTACATTCTGGAAACAGAGAAACTAAATTGCTCTCCCCCGGGAATGTCTTCCCACCCAAACCTTCACAAGTGTGGACAATCACTACATCCGCATTTGCAGGCATATTTCCATGGTGGTTTACTTGACATATATTCTTTATTTATTTTTTAATTTCCTTTTTGTACACCTTTCAGATTTGTGAATGCAGATTTTTTAAAATTTGATTTTCACTTGAAAATACATTTTAATTCCCCCTATTTAATGGGCTGTGTGCATATATGTGGGGGTGTGCTTAAATGTTAATAGCGTACATGCATACTTATGAGAATTTCACACATTAGAATACATAGTAAGAAAATAAAATGCTATTAGCAACTTGTATTTTTTCTGTTGGTTTAAGAGAAGATATTTACAGCTTTACCTACTTCCTCCAGACTCATCTAAGCCCAGATGTTGCTGAAAAGAGCATATTGACTTGGAATATGTGGGGGTTTTTTGTTCTCAGTTCTGCTCTAGGTCATAACTGTTTAAAAATATTAAGTCATAATTGTTATACTAAAATTCATCAGCCAAATGTTAGATGAAATGTCTGTACTGTAGTCTCTAATCACTGTCACATATATAAGTGCTTTTTCATTTTGGTTTGTAGAATAGCTTTACAATAGAAATACCAGTAAACAATATCTATACTGTTACAAGGCTTTTTTTCCCTTCCTACATGTTTTAACTGTACCATAGTGTTTTGCCCCCAGAGAAGCTTTTTATGGATCTTGCAACTTTGTTGCTAGCTTGAGGTTGATTATTGTGGTTGTATTGTTCAATGTGTGTAGAAATAGTATGAATGTGATTTAAATAGATTGTTCAGTTTTTAATATTAGCCATAGAACTGGTTAGTATCTCAGTAGTTTCATGAAACGTTTCCTGTATTCTAATCTATTTTGAGAAATTTTGTGGGTTTTTTAGAATTGTGTCTTATAGTTCAAGTTTGGAAATTTTAATAAGCAACAATTTTTAAAGATGCTATAATTGTCCAAGTAATATTTATCCATCTTTTATGGCCCCACAAACTGCATCTTTAAATCTATAAATGTTTCCTTAAGCATCATACTTTTCTGCTCTTTCAAGCTTAGTGGTAAGAGGGAAGCACAAGAATTTCAGTAGAATACAGTTTTTATTTTGTAAACACTAATGTATTAAATTTACTATACATGGAAGCAAATAATATATATTTTTATTTGAATTGTATATATGAATTGGATGTTATAACAGGTTGATTTTTTTCATTGTGTTAGAGGTATTTTCACTGAACAAGGTCAATTGGTTACCTCAGTATTACAGCCAATATAGTACAAGGGACCATTTCTCCCTCAGTCCGTGTTGTATTTTATTACGTGAAGTCTGCGTTTCTGTGACTCTTAAAGCTGTTGGTGAGGTGGGATGAGTGCACTTGCTTCCTGTGGCAATAAAGATTTTCTGTGCCTCACACATTTATGTTTATAGAACTTTCTACATGTAGCACTTTCCACAGACCTGCTGATATCACCTGATATTAGCTACTTTGCCTCCCTCTTTGAGTACTTCATCTGGGCTTGGGATTTAGGGGCCAAAGGCTTATGTCTTAAGTCAAGACTAAATATTATTGCCAGCTCTCTTCATACCTAGAAAGATACTTGGCAAACAAGTACTCAGTGGATTCTGGTCTATCAGAAAGAGTTTAGTTTGTTCTAACAAGAAATTCACAAAGACATTGTAAAAACTATATCTAACCAACTAAGTATTTAATAAATAAAAGGAATGTTGGGATTTAACATTCATAGTATACTAATTTGTTTAAGGTGTTCATGTGATTTGGCTTTTGTATATTAAGTTAATTATATGAAATTGAACTCACCTGTCACAGAAAATTAACAAAAGCTTTGTGACAAAGTTTTTTTTCCCTCACTTGAGAACATTCTTACTGATTTTTGGAGAGAGGGAGAGACATTGACAGGTTGCCTTTCATATGTGTGTACATTCTACAACTGGGCTGAACCTGCAACCTAGGCATGTTCCCTGATTGGGAATCGAACCTGTGATCTTTTGGCTTATGGGTCGATGATCCAACCAGCTGAGCTACACTGGCCAGGGCTGCACTAAAGTTTTAGCTGATGAGCTTAGAAGATTCATGAAGAGCTTCAATGTGTCAAGCACTGTGCTAGTTGATGTGGTTAGGGTGAAGGCCACAGAAGAAATACAACATGATCCTTTCCCTTCGGGAACCCAATACCTAGTTGAAATGATACGAATACCACTCAGATAAAAATACAAGTTTTTGTGTGTTACACACTTGAGATGAATAAGGAGCTGACATTTAAGTGCATTCAATGTCACAGGTGAAAGAAAGCCCGTTTAGTGAGTGTGACTCAGAAGAGACTGACCGGGACTGAAATACTTAACAGAAAGCAGAAGGATGTGATATAAAGCCATAGTGGTTACATTCCACAGCTAGGCTGAACCTGCAACCTGGGCATCTGCCCTGATTGGGAATCGGGGTGTTTCACTTTGAGGCCAGTTTGTAAAGAAAATAATTACCATTTTATTTTGAAGCTGAATGCCAGTTAGATCTTCTTCGTAGTAATTCTTTTGATAGTCCATGGAATAGGTCAAAAGACAGGAGAAAAAAATGGGCTTTTTCCTGTTCTTAATCAGTAAAACCACTTGGGTAAAAGCTTTAGAATTTAGTGATTACACAGCTACTAGTAGCTAGTATATCTTTACAATTATAGTTGATGGTATTTAAGACTTAAAACCTAAGTACACATGCATGGAATTTCCTAAGACGGTTTGCTATTGACACAATACCTATTTTGTTTAATACTTCACTGAATCTTCAAAAGAAAATGAACCAAGGTATTAACCTAATGAAACTAGGAAGTCTGTCTCTTACGGGAAATGAATTCAGTTAGTTTAGGACTGAGCAAATGTTCTGTGTTTGTTACAGTTTGAAATATATGACCAAATATGGTAGCTGCTATTTAAATAAAAACCACCTTATGGTCCAGCTGTGTGCATGGGTGGTGTTTCAGGGAATCCAAGTTTGTTTATTCGTTATTATGTGTGGGTGTCCTCATAAGTGAAATTCTCAAGTGGGCCTACAAAGTTAATGAAAAAATGATCTGAAGTCCAGAAACCTTGCTATTAACTATAGGACCCTGCAAGATGATTCTTATTTTACATAGAAGTGATCAAAAGCTAAATGGGTGGGCTACGGGTTTTTAATTCATTTTTTGAGTATGCAACAAACAGTTGCATTCTTAAAACCTCTTCTCTAGCATCTGTTCCTACTGACCTGTGAAAATTAAAATTTAAAAAAACCCTCAAAGGTGTTTTTTTATTTTTTTTGTTCAGAAAAAGATAGAAATTTACTTTCTAAGTTCAACTTACAAATCTTTGTAAGTTTAGCAAATTTTATCCGCTTTTATGGGAACTGAATAATGATTGGTTCCATTTACAAAATTGGTTAATTAAACTCCTTTATTTTTTCATATTCCTGTGTTTTAAGAGCCAAATTTTTTTTCATTAAAACATCCTGTTGAGTTCTGGGTCTCCTAGTTTTGTCTACTTGGTCACAATTTCCAGGGTTATTTGATAGCTAAATAATCTGCTTACAAGGTATCACTTCAATATTGTTAAAGGTCTAGTCTTTACCAGTTCCTCAATTAAAGAAAATCAGATGACATTTTTGTAACAATTGGATAAAACTCTCAAACAAGGAACATTGGAAATGAATCACATAAAGTACTAATCTTAGTTTTATCTCAACAGCCATATGAGATGTTTAGTTATGATCTTTCTTTGTTTTATTGCCTGATTCAAAACACCTCAGTGAGAAAGTGTGTTTAATTTTTTTATTATACACTTGCTGTCTATAAGTTTTTCAATGTCATATTTCAAAAGAATTGACTTCACAGTCTCAGAGAAATGGAGTTAAGCGAATGCTGCCATCAAATAATGTTGCAAAATGCAGATTTAGGTACATTTCTCTCTCGAGGTGGTGCTGCCACACAAATGTTAAAATCAACCCAAGTATTTTTCTCATCGCCAGATTTTGTGAATTTCCTGGTAATCTAAACAATTTGGTCATAAACCCAAGCAAATTTTGCTGTGGGTGAGGAGCAGTGACGGTGTAAGTTAGATTGTGCTTCATATTTACACATTCTGAAACCTTATGAGTCATCTGTGCATTGGAAGTTTGCACCTCATAAATTTATGTTGAAGTACCATGTTCAACACCTACACACAATCCTAAACGAGTAAGGCCATCCCCTTATAACTGTCATAGACAACCTCTGCTGACAGGTCACTCGGGCTCAAGTATGTAGGAAGATGTTTAAGTAGTGCGTACGTAGGTGGAATCTTACCGGTAACTGGCTCAGCAGAAGCATTTTATAATTTTCTGAGACTACCTACCAGCCCCAACTGTGAACTGTTAAACCAAACATCTGTGGCCTAGCCCCACACCCTGCTATTTATTGTCCTTCCCAGAAGACAAAGTGATTTGTTTGGTACTATATTCTTATGCTATAAGCCCTCCAGATCTCATCATTTTAGTTATGTTTCAAAAAAAAGTACAGTGGACCCTTGAATAACATGAGTTTGAACTATTGGGGCCCACTTGTACACAGATTTTTTTCCCAATAAACTCTGTAAGTGTATTTTATGATTTTACTAACATTTTTCCTCTAGCTTACCTTATTGTAAGAACATAGTATATAATTCATGTAACACAAAATATGTGTTAATCAACTGTATGTTATCAGTTAAGGCTTCCAGTTAACAGTCAGCTATTAGTAGTTAAGTTTTTGAAGAGTCAAAAGTTATATGTGGATTTTTGACTATGGGGGTTGGCACCCCAAAACCCCATGTTCGAGGTCTGTTCATGCTTTTCACCCTTAGGTCCCTGGCAGCACAATGTTGGGATGTCTTCCACCAACAGTTAAAATGGACTAGATTATCCTTTTCCTCTCTGATTTCAGCCAGTTATTCTATCATCAGAAAGAATATACCCAATATATTGAATGAATTACTTTTGCATTTATTGGCTAACTCAAATTAGACCACATCTTTCTGATTTTATTAATGAGAAGACAAAACAGCTCATATAATAGATGTAGCGAGGTACTTTGTGTAATTAAAAGGCAATTTATTCTTTTAAAAAATTAGCATTTCAAAGTGAAATAATTTTGAGGCTATCTAATTTATTCAAAGAATAAAAATATATTTAAAAGAAAAGAGAAGGATCTCATTTCCCAAGACTTTAAACACAGTTTATGATAGTTAAAAGGAGAAATAAGTCACCCTCTTCTATTTTTCCCTTATTAAAAAGACAAGAACTAATTCTTTGTAAAGCAAATGATCTCAAACTCAGGCTTAATTTCTTTTTTTTTTAAGATTTTAAAATTTATTTGTAGAGAGAAAGGAAGGGAAGGAGAAAGAGGGAGAGAAACATCAGTGCGAGATTGGTTGCTTGAACACACCTCAACCAGGGAATCAAGCCAGTGACCTTTCACTTCCTGGGAAGATGCCCAACCAACTGAGCCACAGAAGACAGGGTGAACTGAAGTTTATACTCTTAATCTAGTAGTAATTGTAGGAGTGCTATATATCAAACTCACCATTGCCTAGCACTGCACCAACTGCTATGCATTTCATTCTCTCTGCAACTCCAGAAGTTAATTATCAACCCCATTTTGCAGGTGAGAGCACGGAGGTCTTAAGTTAGGTACCAAGTTATCATACAGCTAATAAGTATAATAGGAATGAGCCAGTCCACTTGTTTGATACCAAAGTCCACTTGCACCCTATCCTGTCAAATTTCCTTTGAACCCAGTGGCCTGCAATGTGTAAACATTTTACACTTTAACACAGTTAACTCTTTAAAATGCAGATAAATCCTAACCATACATGTGAAAACAACTAGACTACATATGAGTATTCATCAGCTGGTAAGTTGTTAGTGGTATGTAGATTGCAGCAGAAGCTTCCTGAAGGAAGTAAATATCAAGCCATTCTAAAGGCAGGTCTTCAAGCAGAGAAGTGAAAGGATGTACTGCTTTGGGACTAGCACATATGAAAAACCCAGGTAAGACAACAGAAAAATCACCCTTAGGAACCACAGGGAAATTTAATGGACCAGAGTAGAGAATTCAAATAAGTAATTAAGATGAAACATCCAAGAAACAATGCCCACTAAATAAAATCTTTTGAAACTCATAGAGTTCTCATTTCATTTGGGAAGCAATTAAAAGCTTTTGAGGAGGGGAGTGAAACAGTCCAAAAATGTTTGGAACATAAGGACAAAGTAGTACAAATTATCAACAAACAGCAAGGGCTAATGAGGATGTGAAGAAAGAGGGAACACTTTTGCACTGTTGGTGGGAATGCAGATTGGTGCAGCCACTGTGGAAAGCAGTACGGAGTTACCTCAAAAAATTAAAAATGGAACTGC